ACCCACAGACCACGAGATCATGACCTGAGCTGAAGGCGGCCACCCAACTGACTGAGCCACCCAGGCACCCCAATGTGTAGATGGAGATTTTAATGCAGTTACTTTTATCATATCTGTATAAAGTGTTCATATTCCATTTGTTTGAAAAGTCTCTGAACCAGAAGAAGAAATTTCTTCTTGTAATAGAAGCTTTTGCCTCGTCAATTAAAATTTTTAATTCTTGTAGAGGTAGGTTATGGAGGTACAGAAGAAGGCTTTCCAAATAAATGCACCTTTCTTTGATTTAAAGCCATTAATTATGGGTATACCTAAAAAAATAAGTGATTCAGATTTTACATTTTAAACCAGTAAATTTATTGCTAATAGCAAAATTATGCCCAAAAGATATAGCAATAATTTGGTAGTTAAAAATAGCCAAGTATGCTAAAATGCTGGAATCCTTGAAGCAGTTCATCTGTCCTGGAGAGGGAAATTGTGGGTGTATATATGTGTGGGATCTCAAAGTGTGACTTGAATAATCTCAGCTTCACTGGAAGTTGAATATTTATTATTTTTAATGTATTTTTTTTCAGTTCAGGAGCATTAAGATTGTTTTATGTGTCTGCATTGATGATATCAGTGGGTTATAAAGAATTTTAATTTTGGTAAAAAAAAATTTGTAGTTTACTCTTAACACCTGTGCCCTTTCTGTTATTAAATAATATTTTCATAAAATGTGAACAAAATATTTGAAGAATGAAAATTAAAAATATGAAGTATAACTGAATGGTAAATAAACATAGGATGTGCAGTTTCTCTGTAATTAGTAAATTAAAAACTCAAGTTGCCTTTCTAATTTTCCCATTCCACCGTACTCACATTCCTAAAAGGCTTTTTAATTGCTGTTTTATTTTTTAGCAATCCTTCAGTTCTTTAAGCTCCTTCTTTACTCTTCCAAGCTCCTCTTGGTGTTAGTCTGGCCATTGAGACTAGGGATGAGTTAAGTATATTGGACCTTTAAGTTTTAAGTAGTATTTGCTATGTCATTTCCTAATGGCATGAACTTGGACAAATCAAAGTCACTTACTATCTAAGCCTTAGTTTATATTTTAAAATGAAGAGTACTTCTTCATGCCCTCTTCAGAATTACTTGGAGATGAGACAGTATATGCAATAGTGTTTTAGAAATATTGTTACCTTCATACACATATCCTTTGAGTAATTAAAGACTTTGTTTCTTATTAGTTTTTCTTAACCCTCATCAAGTTATATGTATGTACTTTTTCTTATTTTGACTATAAATTTAATGTATGCTTGTAAAAAGTAGAGAAAATATAGAAAACTTGAAAAGAAATCTGAACATTGTGTTTTCCTGTATTTATGTTTTTAGGGGAAATTTACTTTTGAGACTGAGTTCCCTGAGTGTAAGGATAGTTAGTGTCATATTTATTTTTGGATTTTTCTGTTCTGTTCTTTGTATGCATTAGGCCAAAAAAAAAAAAAAAAAAATCAATGCTTGTTAAGGGAATGGGCACTTCCTTAGTCGGTTGTCTTTCTTTCTTTCCTTCTTTCTTTCTTTCTTTCTTTCTTTTCTTTTCTTCTTTTCTTTTCTTTTCTTTTCTTTTCTCTCTCTCTTTTTATGGTATAAGTTTCGGGTGTACAGCTTTATAATTGACATCTTGTATAATGCCATACAAAGTGAAGATCACCACACCACAAGTTCATCATTCACACCATACACTGACCCCTTTACCCATTTTGTTTACCCCCCACCCCTCATCCCCTTCCCTTCTGGTAACTACTGGTCTGCGTTTTATTTTGTTCATTTGGGTTTTTTTAGATTCCACATATGAGTGAAATCATAGGGTATTTCTCTTTCTCTTTCTGACTTATTTCACTTAGCACAATATCTTCAAAGTCCATCCATGTTATTGCAGATGGCAAAATTTCATTCATTTTTATAACTGAGTAGTATTCCATTGTATATACACTATCTTCTTTATCATTCATCTGTTGATAAACACTTAGGTTGTTTCCATATCTTGGCTATTGCAAATAATGCTGCAGTTGGCTTAGGGTTGTAAATATTTTTTCAAATTGGTGTTTTCATATTCTTCAGATCAATACTCAGAGGTGGAATATCTGTCTCATATTGTAGTTCTATTCTTAGTTTTTTGAGGAATCTCCATACTGTTTTCCATAGTGGCTGCATCACTTTACAACCTCATCAACAGTGTGCGACGGTTCCCTTTTCTCCACATCTTCTCCAACATTTGTTACTTCTTTTCTTTGGTAATTCTAGTATGTATTAGGTGAAATCTCATTGTGGTTTTGATTTGTATTTCCTTAATTATTAGTGATGTTGAACTCTTTTCATATACTATCTGTCTTTGGAGAAATGTCTCTTCAGTTCTTCTGCCCATTTCTTAAATCAAATTTTTGGCTTTTTGTTGTTGTTGAGTTGTATGATTTCTTTATATATTTTGAATATTAACCCCATATTAGATATGTGGTCTGCAGATATCTTCTCCCATTCAGTACGTTTTCTTCTCTGTGCAGAAGCTTTTTGGTTTGATGTACCGAAAATTTATTTTTGTCCTTTATTTTTGTTTCTCTTTCCCTTGCCTTTGGAGTCAGATACATATAAAGATGTCACTGAAACCATGTTAAAAGGCTTAGTGACTATGTTTTCTTCTAGGAATTTTATGGTTTCAGGTCTTACGTTCAAGTTTTTAATGCATTTCAAGGTCATTTCTGTGTGCGGTGTAAGACAGTGGTCTAGTTTCATTCTTTTGCATGTTGCCATCCAGTTTTCCCAACACCATTTATTGAAGAGCCTGTCCTTTCTCCATCATATGTTCTTCCTCCTTTGTCAAAGATTAATTGTCCATATATGTATTGGTTTATTTCTGGACTTTCCTTTTTATTGATCTGTGTGTCTGTTTTTGTACCAATACCATACTGTTTTGATTATTATAGCTTTGTGGTATAGTTTGAAATCTGGGAGGATGATCCCTCCAGCTTTGTTCTTCTTAAAATTGCTTTGACTGTTTGTTACCTTTTGTGGTTCCATACAAAGTTTACAGTTATTTGTTACAGTTCTGTGAAGTATGCCATTGGAATTTTGATGGGTATTGCATTGGATCTGCAGATTGCTTGGGTAGTATGGACATTTTAACAATATTAACTCTTCTAATCCATAAGTAGGGAATATCTTTCCATTTATTTGTATCTTCAGTTTCTTTCACGAATATCTTACAGTTTCCAGTGTGCAGGTCTTTCACCTCCTTGGTTAAATTGATTCCTAGGTATTTTATTCTTTTTGATGCAGTTGTAAATGGGATTATTTTCTTAATTTCTTTAGTCTGTGTGTATTTCTTTCTCTTTTTCTTATTTTAGAGAGAGAGAGAGAGAGAGTGAATGGGGAACAGAGGCAGAGAGAGAGGGGGAGAGAGGGAAAGAGGGAGAACGGAGGGAGGGAGAGAGAGAGAAAAATTTTAACAGTTCTATGCTCAGCACAGAGCCCAACATGAGGCTCGATCCCACGACTCTGGGATCATGACCTGAGCCAAAATCAAGTGTCAGATGCTCAACCTACTAAGCCACCCAGGCGCCCCTGTGTGCATTTCTTAAAGTCAAAAAAGCGTGGTGAAATTTTACTGGGCATTTAAAGAGAGAAAGGAAGACATCTGACTAGCAGAAGTAATAGTGGGTGCATATTTTAAACTGATATTTTTCTACTGGCTAAAATAACAAAGGAAAACATGATACAATCATTCATAATATTCTCTGGCAGAAGTTAGGAAATGAGTTAAAACTGTTGGATATGGAACCATTGGACAATTTCATATCAAAGTAGATTGATATTTATTTAGCAAGAACAACATATAAAATTTAAAGACTTTTTTTTAATATTTGGAAATTGTAACAACTTTCTTTTTCCTTTTTTTAATTTTTTGTTAAACAGGATGGCTTAAATTCCTTGGTCCTTGATTTGGATTTTCCTGCTTTGAGGAAAAACAAGAATATAGATAATTTCTTAAATAGATGTGAGTAACCTTCATATTTGATCCTATAACTATACTTTTGATAAGAGATTTATGTTTGATTAATATTATAGTCTATAAACTAGTTTGCTAGTTGGTTCATTTAAATGCTAGCATTCTTTATTTTTAAAGAAAAACTGCAGATCTAGTTGCAGTATGTTAAAGTTCAAGATTTTATATAAATTATTCAGACTGAGTTTAGCACAGGTTATTTATGGCAGTTCAAAGAGAACTTTTAAATTAATACCAACAATTTTAAGACTTAGATTTACACTACTTAGGAGACTTAATGAGCCTTATGTTTGTATGAATGTAGACATGTCGGTCTAGGTAATGAAAGAAAATGCGATAACAATTATTGTCATGTATGCAGTAACTTAATATTTGCCAGTATTGATGTTGGAGTGAAGGTGTAAATGAGGTTGAATTCTAAGAATAAATTCTCAAAATAATCTAATACACACTTTATATCATCATAGTAAGCTTTTTAAGTTGGAATTGTTAGAGACTGGACTATTTTCATGACTAAACAATCTTGTCTTTAGATACTATATCTACAATATGTGATTACTACTTCCCAAAGAAGTAGACTATGAAAATTTATTACTAAGATTAGCCTTGCAAGTAATTTCATAGCAGCTTTCTGCCGTGATTCAGAATGCACTGCTAGGACGCGTGGATCCTCATTGTTCAGCTGTCATCTTATCAAGCAACAGAATAGCTTAATTCTTACTTTTTGGTTGTCAGTACTGTTTGTTTTATATGTGTTAATAAACCATAGCATTTTGGTTCTTTCATGTAAAGTTAATATGTATCTTAGCTGTTTAAAAAGCAACCTTTGAAAACTGACAGATTTAGCTAAAAACGAATCCCAGTTTCTTGAAATGAAAATTTGTTTACAAATATGGTGATTATTGTAAAGTATTGTTTATAAATGTAATCTTTTTTATTGCAGATGAGAAAATTGTGAAAAAAATCAGAGGTCTGCAGATGAAGGCAGAAGACTATGATGTTGTAAAAGTGATTGGGAGAGGTGCTTTTGGTGAAGTGCAGCTGGTAAGAAAGTATTTGTTTTCTTCTTTTATATTATTTTTAAAGACAGGGTTTTGTGAAATATTACCAACAGCCCCTGAGTCGATGTTATTTTTCTGCCCAGCCATGCCAGAATTAGTTTTGTGAGCTTGGTCAAATCATTCCATCTCTGAAAACCCTCGGTGTCTTCACCTGTAAAAGGAGGTAATTGTAAACTGATACCCCACGTTTCTTGTAACTCTGAAACACTGAGATTTACAATCAGGCCAGTGTGGTTTCATACGTGACCTTTCCAGCAGTTAATATTCCACAAGAACTGTTGTGTTTTTTTTAATATGTTCAGGTTAATAACATTTATTCTTCCTTAACAGATTTTATTTGGATAATATGAGAAACATTGCAATAACTGAAAGCCATAATAATAACTGAAAGTACATATGAAATTTATCTTTGCAGATGAAAGTGGTACCAACTGGAAATATAAATGTTTGTAATAAATGTCATTTGTATTCATGAGGAACTGTAATAATATTCCTGTTTTTGTCACTCGAATACGAAATTCCACTCTTTTTGTCCTTACAAATAAGATTCAACTACTTTATATTTTCCACTATCTTAGAGAGATTAATCTTAATCTCTTTGATTAAATTATGGGGTCAAATTCTGTCTTTTGCTCAGTAGTGTTCTTCTATTTTTTGATGGAGCATGAGAAAAACACTGATCACTGTGTGTTAGCATAATTTCTTTAGGAACAAGTCACTTTTGCTTCTCTTTCATTCCTTCTTTTTTTGATAGGTTTATTGAACTTGTAGATCAGGGTAGTGTAATAGGTGTGATGTATATCTATAAGATATTTGAAAAAGTCTGTCATGCTTGAAGAGGATATGGAGAAATGTCAACGAATAAGCATATGGATAGACAGTTTTATAATTTCATAGACATATAATTTAATAGACAGCTAATTTATAGCTGTATCCTAAGGAGACTGAGGAAGGCATGAATTGTACCTTGGACAGAGATGCCCAGGGACAGATTTTAGAGTTCTCTCTTCTCCTATTCACCACTTTATTAATAAGGCATTTATTGTATGGGGGCAGTGGTGACGCGGTGAATAATTTTGCAAATGAGTTAAAACTGAAGTATGAGGATGATTTCAGATGATAAGTCAAAATCCAGAAATCATTAGTTGGGAAGGCCATTGGCCAATAAAAGTGAAATTTAGCCAGAATAAAGAACTGTGCTTAGATGTGAAGAACTCAAGAAATAGATTCCTTAACAGTAATTATAAATTGAAGAACAATTTTCCTTGAATGTAAACCAAGCAAGAGTCACTGGTGATGTGGCTGTCCAAAATAGTAAAGGAAGTTTGGATTGCTTTGATATAGGTGTTGTGTTCTCTCTCTTGAGATGATTGGGCCATAATGGAATACTCATTCTCTGTGCACTGTTGCCGTGTCTTAAAAGGCATGTTGGTAGAGGGTACTCAAGGAATGGAACGCTCAGGGACTTGAAATGATGCCATCTGAGGTGCGGTTGAAGGGATTGAGAAGTTAATTTGGAGTAGATTTGAGGAGTGGGCTGCCTTGCAAGGTAATGTGCTTTTTGTTTGTTTTGTTTGAGTCTGTGAAAAGTGCAGGTAGTGTAACTTTTTGGCCAGTAGAATGCTGCAGGCCAGGAGGGGGAGTGGGGGGGGGGGAGGGTCAGAGATTAGATTACATGGTAGTTGAGTTATGACAGGCCCTGTAAGATAGTGGAAAATATAAAGTACTTGAATCTTATCTCTGCCTTGGCCTAACTCAAAGATTATAGTGAGTATAGACAAGTTTCTCAATCTCTGAGTTCCAAACTATAGAATACAGATGATAATACCTGTGTCATGGGTTTGTTATAGGGGGATTGGAGACGACAGTAATATTTGGGAGCCTAGTTTTGTTGAGCAGAGAAAGTCAGACTTTGTTTCTGATACTCACCACTTAGAGGCTCTGGCTAGGTTTCAGGTTGACAGTTCATTTGAGTTTGCTTAGATTCTAGGTCTCCTCTTTTTTTGTCTTCCTTCTCCCAACACTCGATTCCTTTCTCCCCTTTCTCCTCCTCCTCCTCCTCCCCTCCTCCTCCTCCTCCTCCCTCCTCCTCTCCTCTCTTTTTCTCCCTTCTCTTCTTCCTCCTTTTCCTTCCTTCCCTCCCTCCCTCTCTCCCTCTCCCTCTCTTTTTCTCTCTCTCAAAAATAAATACACACTAAATAAATTAAAAAAAAATAAGCCTATAGTGTTCCCTGTTAGCCACTATTAAAATTATTGCCTATTTGATACATAAATTCATAATACTAGTATTTGAAATAAATACATTGTTTCTTCATAATCAGGATTCAGTGTAGATAAGAGAGAATAGAATTTGGAATTCTGTTTTTGAAGGAAATGTGACAGATTTTGGCTTGTCATGTTTTTGTGGCAGGGTAGTCATTGTTCTGTGTTAGGTTAGTTTGATAATTCAAATTCAATACGTTCAAGAAAGGAAAGGAAAAGAAGAGGGTTTTATTTTTGTTGTTAACTTTCCATTCCAAATTTTATTTTCTATAAAACAAATTCACATGTTTTTAAAAATGAGAAACACTTTAACATTCCATTAATCTGCTGACCTGACCTAAGAACTTGGAGCATGTTTGTTTTGGCATTAGCTCTTTGTTCTGTTACCTTTGGCAGGGAGTCTTGAAAAGAAGGATAAGATTCAAAATGAAAAGTCCAAGTGCTTCTTCCATCGTCTTTTAAAGTTGATTTGCATGTGTTAGATAAATTAGTTTGACAGCTGTGTAGGCAGTATTCCACATTTGGCACATCTTTATGATTATGTTTTTCTAGTCATCCAAAGAAAGTTTTACAATAGTAGGTGCAGATTTGTCTTATGGAATACTTTTTTTGGTCAGGTTAAAAATATATTACCACTGGAGCGCCTGGGTGGCGCAGTCGGTTAAGCGTCCGACTTCAGCCAGGTCGCAATCTCGCGGTCCGTGAGTTCGAGCCCCGCTTCGGGCTCTGGGCTGATGGCTCAGAGCCTGGAGCCTGTTTCCGATTCTGTGTCTCCCTCTCTCTCTGCCCCTCCCCCGTTCATGCTCTGTCTCTCTCTGTCCCAAAAATAAATAAACGTTGAAAAAAAATATATATTACCACAGAGGGCCCACTAGTCCGTTTCTACAAAGAAAATTCTCATTGTAAAAGTAACTTTAGTGTGCCACAGCAACTATACTGTAGTATTTAAGAGCTAGAGTCAGACCGCTTACACTTGACTTCTGACTTGTTGACTAGCTGTCCGTGCAGACACGTTACTTAATCACTCTCTGCCTCAGTTTCTTATCTGCTAAATGAAGATAACAGTAACATTTAAACCCCATAGCATTAGTGGAAGAAATATATGTAATTAAATTTGGAACAGTTTCTTAGAATATAGTAAGTGCTTAGTAAATATTAGCAGTTAATTGCCACACATGAAATGGTTCATGTATCCTTCCATCAATGAAGTATTTAATCAGGATCTGTTTTGCTTCAGGAGCTTTGCTAGCTTTTAAAGATGCGATAACATAGCCTCAATCTTTCTAAAAGTGGTATTTCTGTGGAAGAGATAAGGAATTTTACTTTAAATAAGTGAAGTATTTTCAAATTATAAATACGATGAAGGAAAAGATCTGGATGTTACGAGAGAGAATAACGGAGGGATGTGCTTAATTCAGGTAGGGTTGTTAGGAAAGACCTCACTGTGAGAAAATGACATTTGAGTTAGATGTAAAGAAGTTAGGCACATGAAGAAGAGGGACTGGGGTGGGAGTCAAAATACAGAGGGAATAGCATGTAAGAATGCCATGAGTCAAGAAAGTACAGGGGTGCCTGGGTGGCTCAGTCGGTTAAGTATCTGACTCTTGAGTTTGGCTCAAGTCGTGATCTCATGGTTCGTGAGTTCGAACCCTGCATCGGGCTCTGAGCTGACAGTGTGGAACCAGCTTGGGATTCTCTCTCTTCCTCCTCCCCCTCCTCCCTCGCTCACACACACTCTCTCAAAATAAATAAACTTTAATAAAAAAAAAAGAGGAGGTGCTCAGTCATTTAATTTATTTGAGCCTAAATTTCCTCACCTGAAAAAGGCGTTTATTTATAGATTGAAAAGTTCTATAATTCTAGGTGGGCAGAATTGGTTATTGTCTTTTTTCTCCCATCTACAGAGGTGATGTATATTTGTGTTTTTATATCATGAAAAGTCTGTAACATGGGTGATCTTATCTGATACCACTATTTTTAGATTCTGCTGTTTAGGTCATTTATCACATCTCATTTTTATGGAAAATAATAATATTCTGTATATTAGGTTGATTAAGAGCAATACTTTGGAAGAATAGTCAGAGTCAACTACTTTTGTTTCTCTTCTCATGTATAGATTTTCTGTCATCAAAGCTTTAATTTCCTTATCTCGGAGTAGCAGTAATAATAGAACATACAAGAAATTTTTTGAGGACTAAATTAAGCTCTACATGTGTGGTACTTACCAGGGAGGGATCTGGCACATTGTAGGTATTAAGTAAATACTGTCTGTTGTCACTTTTGCCAGTTTCTAAGGATTTATAAATTTAAATGTTTTAATCTTTTAAAATATTTTTTAATGTTTATTTTGGAGAGGGGGAGAGAGAGAGAGAGCAAGAGCGAGCATGCATGAGCTAGTGGGGGTGGTAGTGGTAGTGGCAGAGAGAGGGGGGTGGGGGAGGGAGGGAGGGAGGGAGGGAGACCGAGAACTCGAAGCAGGCTCCGTGCTATCAGCGCAGAGCCCCACTCGGTGCTCAAACTTATGAACCGTGAGATCATGACCTGAGCCGAAGTCGTATGCTTAACCGACTGAGCCGCCCAGGTGCCCCTAAATGTTTTAATGGTAAATGAATAATCCGAAGTGTTGCTCTAAATTTTATATGTATTTACGTGTGTTGGTTTGCTAGAGCCACCCTAACAAAAGGCACCTACTGTGACTTAACCAACAAAACTTAATTTTCT